TCAAGTACAAATGAAATTTTCAATAAACACTTCTCAAATCGAAGCATCGATGTACATTCCGCACAGTTTTTTTTTCAGAAGTGCAGGATATGCAACTGTTCTTTTACAATCAAAAATGTTAAAATGTAGGAAGCATTTTTTGGATATAGGACAAAATGTCAACCGCATCCCTTTGACCGCCTTATAAATCACAGTAATCCTACCTCCAAATTTGTTTCCTCCACTACCACGACCACCACGGCCTCCGCCGCTGCGGGTGCCATAGCGTGCTACATCACCAGCAACACGTTCAAGCCAATCTGGTAGTTCCTAAAAAGAATGTCCATACAATTTCTATATACAAGATATGACAATTTGTGCTTCGCACCTGGTTTGCTTCAACGATGAGGTCCATCAAATCTCTCGCAATGTTTCTGTTCTTATCATTGAAGAAAGATGTCGCAAGACCTTGGTGAAAAATTCTATGATGGCGACAAATGGGAGTTGATATGAACGATTACCTATGTTTCCAACACGTCCCGTGCGACCGATACGGTGCACATACTCATCTATCTCAGAAGGTAGATCATAATTTATCACATGTTTGACATTTGGAATATCGAGACCGCGGGCTGCAACTGCTGTTGCCACCAATACTGGGGTAGCACCAGACCTTAAAAAGATCTCCATGAATACTGCAAAATTCAACATAAACGCACCTGAAAGAATCCAAGTGTTTCTCCCTTTCAAATTGTTTCAGATCACCATGGATCGCTACCACTTCATAACCAGCATTTTGCAGATAGTACGAGAGATCGGAAGCTCCACGCTTCGTTTCGACAAATACCAGCGTGAGCGAATTTTCACCTCCGGCATCCAACAGATCCATAAGATACGAACGCTTCTCATGCTCTTCGACCCATACAACCTAAAAATTTCCGGATATGCGACAAAAATATGCAAATGATCTTGTTTTGATTAAAGAAACTCAGCCTACGTCTTAGTAAAATAAATGATGTATATTTCCAATAATTCTTACATGCCACAAAAAGGATCGAATAAAGTCAATAAATCAAAGCAAACCTTCTGCATTATATTTTCTGAAGTCGATCCAACTCTGCCAACAGCCAAAAATACGTAGTTAGGCATGAGAAAATCTTGTGCGAGTACCTAATAGGACCATGTTGCAAATCTCGATAAGGAAAAATAAAAGCCTCACTCAAAAACACTACCTACCTGGATCTCTTTAGGGAAAGTCGCGGAAAACATAGCAGTCACACGTTCACCTCTACCAGGCATCGTCGACAAATCAACAATCTAAACATGGACCAAACTAAAAGCAAAGCAAGGGATTAATCCGATGCGTACCTGACGAATCTGCGGTTCGAAACCCATGTCAAGCATGCGATCGGCTTCGTCGAGCACAAGATAGCGACATCCTCTCAAACCAATGTACTCCTGCTCCATAACATCAATAAGCCGTCCGGGCGTAGCAATAAGTATATGACATCCGAGCTGAAATCAGCATTTTGAGCTTCCTATTTCAAAAAAAAAATCGCTAAACGTACACGTAATTTGTTGATTTGATCTCTGTAATTCTCTCTGCCACCATAAAGCAATGCTGACGTGATTGGTGTGCGGTAGCCAAACTTCCGCGATTCATTGTAAATCTATAATAAATCCAAATAAAAAAGTGCTTCAGAATGTTGAGTCAGACATACTTGCAATGAGAGTTCTCTCGTAGGTGAGAGCACCAACGCAGATGGGTACTGCTTCTTCTTTCCGTGATGAGACATGGTTGGAGGATGTTGCGCTCCGGGTCCATCCTATAATAAACAGAGATTACGAGTGGATAAACAATTTTGAACTGATGAAATAATGGAATTTTTCAGCAATATTGAATTAACTAATAGTTTTAAATCAACAATATATTAGGTTGGTCCGAAAGTTCTGTCGCACCAATT